GTCAGATCACATTGCGTGTAGTAAATAAAGGTGTTTGCGTGTTACGCTCCCACAGTAAAACTGAAACGCCCCCAAATTGCATATTCATTAAGGCAAAGTACTAAATGAACAACAGGTGCTATTTTGCACTTCTGAAAGACGTCACTCTGCGTGCTCACCGTTAGTAGATCAGCTTACATCTTAATTTGCTGGTGATATCAAGTTTGCATTGTGTGCTTGTCGTGGCGTCGGGTTAGGGTGGCGTGGATCTTACATTGAATGTAAACTCATTCATTCCCGTGTTCCCGTTGAGTTTTTGTTTCTTCTGCTGTTTAGAGTCCTGGCCTTTTCCAAAAAGAACCTGATGTCCACTCAGGGCATCGGCATCGTGTTCGGCCCTACGCTGATGTGGCCCGAACTGGACGCAGGAAACATGGCGTTCAACATGGTCTACCAGAACCAGATCGTGGAGTTCATTCTCTGCGAGTGCGAAGAAATCTTCAACCTGGGCAAGAAGTAAAGTGTCCTGAGGTGGACCTGATTTCCTGACGGACTCATATATACTCTAAAGCTAAAAATGATAAGAGACAACAGAAACTGGACTGTAAGAAATAAACTGATGGTGTCTGATCCCAACAAAGTTTGCAGAGGATCGTTTCTTAAATAAATGAATATCTCAGTGTGTGCATAGTAATATCTTTGACCGACCTACAGATGATATAAATACTGTTGGCTTTGTTAGGGCCTGCTGCCAGAGTTCATATAACTTAACCATTTCCTACCTTTAAAGCCAAGTATTGTATTATTTGTTGTGTGACTTGTACATTTTTAACAGATTTAATGAGACATGATGAAGATTTAACTACTGATGTTTATTACTGAACAATAACAGATCGCCTGCCCTCCAGTCGTTTCCTTCTTCAATTCAATTCAATTTTATTTATATAGCGCCAAATCACATCGCTTATCTCACAGCGCTTTTCATAAAGAGCAGGTCTAGACCGAACTCTATGATGTTATTTACAGAAGCCCAACAGTTCCCACCAACAGCAGCACTAGGAGACAGAGGCAAGGAAAAACTTCCTTTAAGAGGCAGAAACCTCGAGCAGTACCATGACTCAGGGTGGGCGGCCATCTGCCTCCACCGGTTGGGGTGAGAGAGAGAGAGAGAGAGAGAGAGAGAGAGAGAGAGAGAGAGAGAGAGAGAAAGTAGAGGAGAGAGGAGCTCAGTGCATCATGGGAAATCCCCTGGCAGTCTAGGCCTATAGCAGCATAACTAAGGGATGGTTCAGGACTCACCTGAGCCAGCCCTAACTATAAGCTTTATCAAAGAGGAAAGTCTTAAGAATGTCTTAATTCTATTCTGGATTTTACTGGAAGCCAATGCAAAGAAGCTAAAACAGGAGAAATGTGATCTCTTTTCCTGGTTCCTGTCAGAACACGTGCTGCAGCATTCTGGATCAGCTGAAGAGTCTTAACGGACTTTTTCGAGCAGCCTGATAATAAGGAATTGCAGTAATCCAGCCTAGAAGTAACAAATGCATGGACTAGTTTTTCTGCATCATTTTTAGACAGGATGTTCCTGATTTTCGCAATATTACGTAGGTGAAAAAAGGCGGTCCTTGAAATTTGCTTAATGTGAGACTTAAACGACATGTCCTGATCAAAGATAACTCCAAGATTCCTCACAGTGGTGCTGGAGGCCAAGGCGATGCCATCCAGGGAAACTATATCTTTAGATAATGCGTCACGGAGGTTAACATTAGTGGATTTACACACAACCAATATAATTTTCAGAGTACTCCTGGATATGATTCAGACCCGTGGGTCTCTCTCTACCACCGTTCTTGTCTTTCAAAAGCGGCGTAAGACGTGTTCACCAGCGTACAGAGCAGTGTTTCTGCCCTGTATGCTTTCTTGTGCAGTTCGTTTTGCAATGCAGATACGATTGGGCTTTAATAGTTAATAAAGGTTTCGTAACGTGTTGTTCGTTGACTCAACACTCAATAAACGTTTTAGAACACACTGTTAATACAAATATCCTCATATCTACTTAAAACTACTGACAGTGTGTCATGAACCATTTCTTATAGTTAATTTACAGTTTTAAATGTTAGATAAGGGGGTGGAGTTAAAGTGAAGCGTCCTAGACCATAAATATAGTAGATAACGTGAGAATTGGTTGATCAGTGGTGAAGTGAGCATGTCCACAAGCACTATTTAAGATTCAGTCAACACGCTACGTCACAACAACTTCACCACAGTTTAATAAAACATGAAGGCCACAAACAAAACCTGCTCTAAAAAACTGTGCTTCTTCTCAGACTCATGATGCTTTCAGATGATTTCAGTTACAACAGCTAACAACGACACACAGCAGCAGGTCAACACTGTTTTACACTGTAGAAATATTACAGATACAGAAACACACTGATGAATGCTGTCCCAGCAAAGTGTAAAAATAATCCCATAAATCAAATCTATAAAAACAGCTCTGTAACAAATAGTAATAATAAAAATCAGTGCGGTAAAACATTCACTCCAGAAAATTAAGAAAGCCACGAAACATAACCAATAATAAAAATACTTTGAATAATTGTATGGCAAAAATGCAGTCAAGTAAGAATGCTTGACTGCATTGAGATTAACAAAAACCAAAGTGAGTGAAAAAATCTAAATCAAATCAATATCTGGTGTGAGCACCTCTTTGCATCCATGTCAGAGATTCTGAAGGTATATCATCAGGTGTATGATTAAACAATTATAGCAAATCATAAATTCAATCTGTAACTATGTTAAATTAGCTGAGACAGAAACCGCTGTGTAGGAGGAATCCAGCTGGTGAGGAACAGCCAGACTCAGCTAACAGAGTCCTGCACCAGGTCAAGACTGAGCACAGCAACAAGACACGAGGTGGTTCTACTGCATCAGCAAGGTCTCTTCCAGGCAGACGTTTCAAGACAGTTTGGGGTTTCAAGATGTGCTGACAAACTTGTAGCGCTGAGGACCGCAGATGCAGACACTGTTAGGATTCACTAGAGGACACAAGGCAGTAGAACGGTACCTCAGGCAGGTTTATCCACAAAAGACTGCGCACAGTGAAGAACTGACGATTGGGGAGCAGGCGGGGGATTGACAGTGGCGTCCTCAGAAGACACTTCCAGGCAGACAGGCAGCGTCTCCAAACACAGGTGGTAACATGGAACTGACAAACTGACGAGGACTAGAAGAAGCAGGGGTTGATTACTGGATAAGCCACAGGTGGGAATGATCCAGGAGCCAGACAGGGTCCCCCTGTTTCCTGATGGTGTACCAGCTCCTCCTTCCTTATGTTTCCCCCTCCCTTCTGTCTGTGTGTGTGTGTGCACATTTTGGAGTGGCCTTTTATTGTGGCCAGCCTAAGGCCTTTTATTGTGGCCAGCCTAAGGCCTTTTATTGTGGCCAGCCTAATGGATTATCTGGGCAAAGGAGAAGTGCTCACTAACACAGATTTTGACAGATTTGTGAACACTATTTTAGAGAAATAGGCCTTTTGTGTACACAGAGAAAGTCTTAGATCTCTGAGTTCAGCTCATGATGAATGGGGGGGGGGGGGAACAAAAGTGTTGCCATTATTATTTTGTTCAGTGTATGTTCAGATTAAAGAACAAGGAGTCCTGCAAGTGATGGTGTGGCCCCACGGAGCCCTGATGCCAACATCATCCAGTCTGTCTGGATCACGTGAGGAGAGAGAAGCAGCTGAGGCTGCCTGAATACACAGAAGGACTGTGGGGGGGTTCTCCAAGAGGTTTGGGTCGACCCACCTGCAGAGCTCCTTCAGATACTATGTGCAGGTGAGCCTAAAAGGGGGGTCACACCCCCTGATACTGATCTGATTTAGATATTTCTTCTGTTCGCTCACTTTGCATTTAGTTAATTGATAAATACAATCTGTTAATGTGTCTTACATTTTTTCCACACCGGTCTCAAACTTTTGCACAGTTCTGTATCTTCTATATTTATACACAAAGCCTATAAAAAGTATTCACCCCCCTTGGATGTTTCACCCTTTTGTTTCTTTTATACATGAAAACATTATCAGTATAATTTGGCTTTTTTGACAAGATTTGCAAAAAAAACCTTTAATATCAAATCGGATTTTTTCAAATTAATGTCAATTAATTAAAAATATATGAGGAAAAGAAGATGACTGTATAAATATTCACCCCCTTTAAAGTGACTGACCTAATTCAACAGCAGTCCAGCTCGTTGATGCCAGCAGTGTCACAGTTAGTGAACTGGAGATCAGCTGATTGTAGTATAAAACCCCCTGTGTCTGGTTCATCAGTATTCCTCTCCACTCCAAGCAGCTCAGAGAAAAGATCACTGAAAAGCACAAGTCAGGAGATGAAGAAGAAAGATTTCCAACTCACCCGACGTCCCACAGAGTTCAGTTAAATCCATCATTCAGAAACGGATGGAGTGTGGCACTTGTTTAAATCTGCCTCACAGACTGAGAAGAAGACTGGTGAGGGAGGCCACCAAGACTCCTTCAACTACTCTGAACGAGTTAAAAACTGCAGTGTCCAGATGTGCCAGCCTGATAGAAACATATCCACACAGACTCAGTGCTGCAGCCGGAGGTGCATCTGCTAAATACTGAGCTGAGCTTCATACAATCATCTTCTTTACCTCATATTTTTTTAATTAATAGACATAACATTAATAGATAGTAAAAATCCGTTCAGCCAAATTATACTGACAATGATTTCATGTATAAAAGAAACAAAAGGGTGAAACATCAGTGGGGGGGGATACTTTTTACAGGCTTTGTATTTCCAGATCACTTCATAATGTTACAGGAAGGTCTCCTAATATTTTGAGGTTTAATTGTATGTTATGAACAAAACTTAATTTTAACTGTATTCTTTATAATATATAATAAAATTACATTTTTGTCATCATGTTATTAGATTCAGCTTCTCTCCACGTTTGACATTGTGAAACAATTCCAGATGATGGAGTGTGCACGTCAAAGGAAATATTACAAAAAAAGATATTTATCTTTTTCTGTCTTCGACATATTACTCAAAAAACATTCATCAAACACAGAAGTTGTTCAAACATGAAGTAGACTGTGTTTCATACATAAAGCATTCGCAGCTGTTCTGATACATAAATACTGTGGAGGAAACATTATTATTATAATATTATATACTGTGTATGTTTTACTGAGCTGAGCAGAGGGGTCTGACTTTATACTGATTTGGCCAAGTCGAGTCTTTTTATAGCACGTTTAAAACAACGGGAGTTGCCCAAAGTATAAATTAAAGTGAACGGCACAACAATAGTGATTACAAAGACAAAATGTATGACTTGGAAACCAAAACTAGGCCAGCACTATCACATTTAGACAAATGATGAGATATTACGTCACAATTATGAAAGTCATAATCTAACTTGGTGAATTTACTTCAACTCAGCCAGAGTTGTGATGGTTGGAGTGGAAAGACGAACCACCAGAGTTTTGGTTAGGGTTTGACTGAAGCGAGTTTTACGAGGATCTGAGAGCTCAGATAACTGTATTTATCAGTGGAGTGTGGTGGTTTGAGGAGAGTGCTGTACCTGCTGTTTCTTGTCAAACAAAAGAAAGTTCTCTCTGTAGGGATCCATAATGTTGTCTGATGCTGAGCCTGTCAGCGGCAAAAACAAGCACTTTAGTGGACGTACTGACGGGCGTTACTGCCCACAAGGCTTCCACTGCAGCACCGCGCTCAATACAACCACGTTTCATTTAATAAAACTTGTTATTAAACTCGTTATTAGACTTATTTAACAAATGTAACTGAATTTATCCAGCGAGACAAACAGACTCTGAGCACCAGAAGTGATTCTCTGTCGGTAAGAAGAGTCAGACAGCTGATCAGACTCGGAGGAGGAAAGAAAGCACTTGTTGGCTGTTAAGGTGGAATGGCTGTTAAGGTGGAAAGTAGTAGAAAGTAGGAGTCTGGATCCGGTAAAGGCAGAGCGGTGAGAGCAGGAACGTTCCACAGAAAAGGATCGGGAGTCGTCTGCTACCTGTGAGGACAAGATGTGATAAACTGATCAGCGCACTGTTCAGGGTTTCAACACTGGACACTGAAGACACCGTACCGACTCCCAAACCTTACGCACAGGACAAAAGATGTGTTGCTGTGGTCGGGTCTCACCTTCAGCTTACTTGCTGTGGCTCGGATGGGCTTGTGGTTGCTGTGCTTGTGGAGGCGGTTGCTGTCGGGGGGAATGATGACGTGGACTGGATATCGACCCCCCTCCTCGGACAGTCGGTCTGACGGCTGCAGAGGAGGACGGGTGATGATGGTGCTGATGTCCTGCTCTGATTGGCTTGGCTACATGGAGACAGGTGACAGGTGATTCAGTGGTCGGCTTCCTAAAACCTGATCCAGATTTAGTCTGAGACATGAAACTGCTGCTGGATTCTCAGAACAACCCACCTGACCTTCCTCCAGTGCCACCATTAGGACAACTTAAGTCTAACAAGCAGACTGTCCTGACAGATTTAACCCCTGCTCCTCTGAGAATCAACCATTTTCCACACCTTTTGTGTAGCGCCCCCCTCAGGACAAACCTTGTAAGAACATCTGACTCGTCAGTATGTTTAGTTTGTTGAGGGTTGTCCTCACCTATCTGAGCAGAGTGTCCTCTCCTGGAGACGTTCTTGGAGCGAACGGCCTCTTTGATGCGGTCCACTTCCTGTTGGTATCGCTTGCGGTCCCTCAAAGATGACTCCTTGGCGTCTCTCAAGGCGGATTCAAGAGCTTTCACTCGCTCTGCTGTGGCCCGCAGACGCTTCTCCAGCTTGGGCAGCTCACAGCGAAGGTCAGCATTGTCCCGCACCAGCTGGGCAACACAAAGGGTTAAATTACTGATGCTTCTCTGTCTGATTTTCAGACGGTAAACAGTCCAGTGATCTAAAAGACTGACAGGTTAGCAACAGTAACTATGTGGGGGGGGGTCCACTGACCTGTTTGTGGACCTTGCTGAGCTGCTCCAGGTTATTTTCTAAGAAGACGATCCTCTGTCTCTGAGCCAGGCTGCCGCCGGCCTCGTCACAGTCGTTCTCTGAACTCTGTGTAAAGAGGAAAACGCTGATGTTCACTATCTCTTAACACACAGACTGACATCCATGTAACGTCTCACTCTCCCAAAGAGACGGAATTAGGATCCACATGGGCCCAATTTGGACCAGACTCTAGCGCTACAAGCAAGACACAAACTTTCCTAACTTGTGAGTTGGAAACACTGCCGCTGAAGATGAGGGAGAGCTAAGTGCTACGCCTGAGGCATCTAGCATGAATGCTAACTCCGGTTCCATGGAGCTTCAAGCCCTGGACACACTAACCGATAATCTCACTAAAGTCATCAAGTCGTTTAGGAACAGACCTCACAACAGACTTCAAGAGGCTGTAACCTCAGAAGCTACTGCAGGTTAGCATTTCTCACCTACACATCACATCCAGCATCTCAACAACCGAGGTCGCAGGTGAAACGTACCTGAGGATTTTCCCGTTGGCTCGAGGTACATTTTTTGAAAACTGGATCCCTGATTACCTCCAAATACATACAAAGCCAGGGGCCGGTTTCACAAAGATAGACTTTGACTATGGCTTAGATATAGCAGATAGTCTGACTATCTTCAGTAGGACTACACTGCAGTGAATTCTGGGTAAAATAAGACACTTTTCAAGCGTATCCAACCACTCAGTACAGTTTACCCCTGCTGAAAAAATGTGTTTGTTGAAGCAGTGTAATAGTTATAAGAACATTGTACTAATTTAGCGTTGAGTGTGGTAGAAATGCTTGATTTGTAAAAAAAATGTGGCGACAGTAAACAGCGTTAACCTTGACCTTGAACCTTGAAGATATACAGAAAAGATCTGAGCACATGGTACAAGATGCCAAAAAAGAAATATTTAAGAGGAAGAATCGTAAAACTGGAGGAGGCAGGGCTCAGTAGCTAATTCAGTCCTCATTGTTGTTTTTTTCTAGTAGGTGACTGCGGGCCATAAAAACTCCTTTCCTTCTCATAGCGCTCTCCATAACACCAGCAGCCATGTTCCCTGTAATGTAACTGATTGTAACTGGTGGTTACCGGGGTAACTTAGACCTAAGTTGGTCTAAACTTAGTCTTTATTTGTGTGTCTAACTTTAGATTAGTCTAACACTATAGATAGCTTTGTGAAACCGGTCCCAGGGCGGCTGAAGCTTGACTGGGCTCACCAGTCCAAACCACCAAAACCCTGTTCCAATCAATTAAGTAATTAACAGTCTGAGTCTGGGTTCTGCTCCAAGTTTTTACTGTTGAAAGGAGTTTGGGGCGGCTGTGGCTCAGGAGGTAGAGCGGGTTGGCCGTTAATCGGAAGGTCAGCGGTTCAATCCCTGGTTGCGTGTCGAAGTGTCCTTGGGCAAGATACTGAACCCCGAATTGCCCCTGGCGGCTATTCCGCCAGTGTATGAGTGAGTGTGAATGTTAGTTTCCGTTTGAGCACTTAGGCTCAGTGTATGAATGTGTGTGTGACTGGTGAATGCAGATGTAGTGTAAAAGCGCTTTGAGTGGTCGAAAAGATTAGAAAGGCGCTATACAAGTACGGAGCATTTACATTTTCCTTGTCACAGCTGCCAAGTGCTGGGGGGGAAGTGTTGGGTCTCTGTAAATAATATTAGAGAGAGTACGGTCTAGATGAAAAGTGCAATTAGATAACCTCTTGTGAAATAGCGCTATAGAAATAAAGACAAATATATAGATTGGGAAATTCCGTAACTTCACAGATAGGCAGCGCATTACGAAGGCAGTTCATCAGATCGATTGTCGCCGATCTAACCAGGACGATGCCGTACACACAACGGGCCCAGGATCTCCTTCATAAATAATCATTCGGCTAAGGTGGCAGTTCATTACCCTTCTGATTTCATAACTACGGTGTTCTTAGATTTCTCAGAGATCCACTCTTTTTGTGGACAGGGTCAGGGTTAGGAGACAGCGGTGAATTAACGTTACACTATGAAACGGCAGGGACACCAAATCACAAAAAAGACCAAATCTTACATTATGTTCCTTTAATGTGGAACAGAAGATACTGAACACTCAGCTTGAAAACCTTTTGTCCTAAACCTCAAAAACAGGTTTCATAAAAGGGCAAAATGCCTGTAGCAATGACGGGAATCTTTCCTGCAAGGAGATGTTGGTGGTCTCGTGCTCATTTCTTTTATTCTTTAAACAAATTTGGCCCTGTAGACAGCTTTATTAGTCGGGTTAAGATTCTTTATGATAATCCCATGCAGCTCTTTTGACTAATGGGCTTAGATTGGAAAATGTGCCAGCTGGACATTGTCGCCCTCTTGTTTATCATTGACACTGAGTCGTAGCGGGAGGTGAAGTAAAGATGAAACCCTCTATACAGAGTCTGCAAGCTGATAGTGAGCGTCATACAGTAAGTCTACATGCAGATGATCCTTTGGTATTTATTTCCAATCCAGTGAAAAATTAAAAGCTCTTCTTAACATCATTGGTTAATTGTACAATGTACAATGCGTCTACAATTAATGACTTGTTATAAGCGTATAAACTACTGTTAGTCCTGTTGATTCTCAAACCCAGTGTAACGTTATAACTAAATAAAACTGTAAGGCTACATGATCAACAATAAACCTGCAACCTCTTTCTAGCCAACGTGATGTAAATGATTACGTTTATCGACCACCACAAGTTTGGCAAGTAAACAAACGCTCGTTAATCTTTTCATAACAAACGACGGCGTAAACCTCTCATCAGTTGTAGCTGAAGAAAGAAGTAAGCTAACGTTATGGCCAATGCTGAGCTAAACATGTTTACTAACCTCAGGTTACTAACCTATTTGCATTCAGCGCGTCTTTGTTTGGGTCTTGTTGTATGAAGTTTTAAAGCTAAAGTTTAAGATGAATGTTTGTTTTCCTCTCTCACGCGGCCTCGCGCAGCTGATGCTACATGTTACGTAGGCAGGTTATAGGTAAAAGAGGGAGGGAGTAACGGCAAGCTCATCAGAAGTTTCCTAAAAAATAAACATTGTTCACGAGTCCGAGTCGAGTCTGAAGTCACTGTGTGCGCGACGTGTCGCACTCGAGTCAGACTCTCTAACTCTAAGTCAGAGTCTCTAACTCGAGTCCCCATCTCTGCTGTGTACTCATGAGGTATATTTATGACTGGGTCGTAAATAATCCGAGTTCTTTGGATTGGAAATCCTTAAATCGACTCGAGGAAAGGTCAGAACTGAAATCTGTTTTTCCCTCTATTGTGAACAATCCTGATTTCCAGTCTGAATTGTTTGATGCTGGTTTTAGGCAACAGGGTGATAGCGGCAGAAGCGGCCTTAACTATGTTTTATCCGTTTCAATTGAAAGGGCCCTGACCAACTTGCAAGAACTGAATGATTCACCCATTTTAAATCAGGCCTACATATTTCACTCAATGTGTAATTCGTTATTGCACAGCACTATATTAATGGACAACCCTGAAAGATCTCAGTCTATTCCATGAGGCTGTACGTTACTTTATAGGAGCTACCGTCCCCGTGAAAAACTCTCCCTCATTTTGAGGATTCTGGTGTCTCTGGTTAACTAAATATTTATTTAGAACATAACAGACCTTTCCAGCTACAGCAGACTATATATATATATATATACACACACAACGCATTTCAATCTTAGCCTCTCACTAATGTGAAAACAGCACCGACCTTTCCAAGGCTTTCCATACTGCTGAACACAGCATTTTACAGAACTAATGATGCTGTCTTGGTTTGGATGATGTGGACTGGTTTTAGTCCTCGTTAAGGTTATTACTTTATTTGACAGGGACAGTGAATATAAATTACATTTCTGAAAATGCCAAGTTAGTCAGAAAGGCTCAATTTCAGCTTTCAGGGATTCTGCGATGTTTGATAAAACCATGTTAGGATTGGGTCAGTTAAATTCAGACTCCCCTGATCATTCAGCCTGACTGATGGTTTTCTTACATTCTTGACTCGAGTACCGAGGTCCTGGATGAAGACTTTACGAAGGTTGTTCAGCGTCTGCAGCTCTTTGGCCTGTTGGATGAAACATTATAATTTAGCTGATCTGAGATCTCTCACTGCTGCAGGCAAAGCTTTCATGAATGGGGCAAAAAAGAATCAAGGTACCACAGTCTCCTCCAGACCCTTTAGGTCCTCTTTGGCTTGCTCTCTCTTCTCATTCAGGAACCTGAAACACACAAGCAGAGTTGGAGTTTAAACACTCTGACTGAAAAAATATTAAAAGCTGTATTAATAAAATAAAATAATCTGGTTTTTAATAAAGAGAAACTGTGACTGAGTGTTTGTCCACTGAAGGATCTGATGTTGCCTTTCCATTGTGAATTTTTACATTGAACGTCAGCAAAAGAGTAAACATCGCCAAGGAAAGGGAATCAAAGTCCCTGAGAATCTAATGTGGGAAAACATCCAGTTGTGAGAAATGTATTGTAAACAAAGAATATGAGTTTTTAGAGCACTGAATTGTTGATTTACAAACACTGTGTAATCACAACATTTTAAAGAAGATAATGACTGACTTTCAGATGTTCTAATTGTGAACAGCCGACTAATATACTAGATCATTCAATAATATATAAAGCAATACTGCGGAGAAGTTTTAAAGTCAAGCTCATTTTAAAATACTAAACGTTAAAAGATTAGTTAAACTAGTTAGAACTAGGCTGTGCGATCTCAAACAACTGGGTGGGTGTCCCACCCTCTGAAACCAACCTTTTGTCTAGTTAATCCGGAGGGCGATCTCAGCTGGGTGCAATCAGTCTTAATTCACAACACCTGTATGCAATTATTCTAATATTACTTCAATAAAACCTATCACTGAAGCATCTGGTCCTTGTGTGAAGGCCTACTTGGGGAAAGACGTAGTAAGTCTACCTGTGCAAGTCCACCTACAAGAGTAGCTTTTGTAAGCACACCTAGTCACTTAAAGTCACTGGCTAAAACTGCAATTACACTATGTGTTACCATACTATTCCTGCCGTCTCCGGTGCACAAAACACGTATCGTGCCATTAGGCACAGAAATCAGGCACTGCTCAAGCCTTTAAAACGGACACTACCCACATCTGTTTACAGTCGGCAGTCAACAAAGCTGACTTTATCACTGCTTATGCTAACACATTATCTCTCGGGCTACTGGCGCTCACTGAGACCTGGATCAAACCAGAAAACTAATTTCCAACATATGGAAATTCACACAGCTGCTACCCCAAAATCAATATGCTTCCTTTGAATATCATGCTGTCTTGGTGTCCGCTCTGGTAAAGGTCTCTGTGGTATGTCATATACCGAATGGGTAACTTTGTGGACAAGCTAGACACACTTCAATCCCAGAGCATAGCTATCTGTTATTTGTCCTCGGTGACAGGAACATTTACTAAGACAAATCAAACTCAGCAGACTTCCAGTCTCTGGTTCAGTCCTTTAATCTAACACGGGCTCTCAGCCCCCCGACCCACAAATCTAGCAAGGTGCTTGACCTTAGTCTTTTCCGAAACTGTCAGACTTCTACACGTCTGACCACTATTTCATTCAGTTCACGGTATGCCTACAGGAAAAGCCCATTGTTCCAGCACCGTATGTCTCACACCTCCTCAACCTCCGCAAGAGCGAGGTATCAGAACCTCTGACCTGTACTCATCTCACTACATGCTGGACCCAATTCCAACGAATTTCATCTGCCATATCTCCTACCGTGGTGCCGGCAACAATCACTCGTGTGATAAATACTTCTCTGGCTTTGGGAACCTTCCCAACCACTTTCAAAAGGCCTCGGGTTACACCCTTGCTCAAAACCCCCGCCCTCAACCCTACCCAAGCTGAGAACTATTTCACAGTTTCGCTTCCACCATATTTTATCCAAAACTATCAAACAGGTGGTCTTCAAACAGGTCTCCGAATTCCTCTCACGAAATGTCCTAAATCCATATCAGTCTGGTTTTAAGAGTGCCCACTCTACTGAAACAGCTCTTCTGTCTGTGACAGAAGCCCTAAGGTCAGCTAAAGCTGCAGCCCAATCCTCAGTTCTTATCCTGCTTGAACTATCAGCTGCTTTTGACACAATCAATCATGGGGGTGGTGATGGGGCAGTGGATAAGACACATACCTTTGGTGTGAGAGACCTGGGTTCGAATCCACTGTGAGACACCACTGTGTCCCTGAGCGAGACATTTCAAGGAAAGCACTCCAGAGGTTCGAATCTTACCTCTCGGGGCGTTGCACAAGGTTTTGTGGCAAGGACAATTATCTTCCTCTCACCGCCTCTCCACAGGGGGGCCCCCAAAGCACGGTGCTAGGGCCCCTTCTTCTCAATTTACACCACCTCACTGGGGCCGATCATTCGCTCTGACGGCTTCTCAACACCGCTACGCAGACGATACACAAATCTACCTATCCGTCCAGCCAGATGATCACACCGTCTCGGTGCGGATCGCGGACTGTCTCTCGGATATATCAGCATGGATGATCTCTAAGACTTAAACTCTTGGTCATTGATGCCATACCTGCTATCAGCTCTTACTAGTACTTATTTCTGCCCTTACTAGTATGTATTGTCATTTGTAAATCTCACGCTGTATTGATCCTTTGTTGATGCTTGTATGTTGTTCCTCAGACTAAAGCAAAATAAGTACACAAAACGGCCACAAGATGGCAGTAGAGCTTTCCAGAAAAGGTGCAGCCAGCTAAGAAAAAGGTGGATATCATGCAGAAATCCCGCCTAAGCAGGAGGAGACAGAGGGCTATGAAAGACTGTGTTCGCAAACTGCGCAGTTAGTTCATGTAGAAGTCTGCCAGGATGTAACTTGGGTATTTGTCTTTGAAAAGAATAAAGATTCTTATCGCACTGATTTTTGACTGACTCCAGTAAGTTTTTGGACCACGTTGCTGATTATTTTGGAAAGATTTTTAAAGTGGTGAATATATGTTTTAGGTTTTTAGCTGGCCATTTTCTTCATCACCATCCAAAAGAAAATGATTTTTCCAGAAGATGATGCTGGTCACTGTATTTCCATGGACCTTTGTACAGTGCACTAGGCTAGCATTGTTGTTTTATGGCATCCCACTGGACGGATTTGGGATACATGTGGGACGCAGTACATCCTGTTACATGTCGGAACTGCCGGCATGGCTCTGCGAGAAGTACAATTCAGCTTTCGGTCAACACAACATGTACAGAGGAATTTATTGCTTCAGTTGACTACATTTACCATCAAAACTGACTCCACATAAAACACGGCAAAGTAACCATTTAAACCATCACAGAAGGATTAAGGCTTGTTTTTTTTGTACTTACTTTTGAACTTCACTTTATGCAAACTGAAAATGTGAATTAAAAGAGGTGGAAACACCGAGACTTTTAAGTGAGGCAAAGCAAACTTACAGCAGTTTCTGGAGTTTCTGGTCTTTGTTCTGATCCTCAGCTCTCAGTTTTTCAAAGTCAGACTGAAGCTTTCGGTTTTCCAGCTGCAAAGCCCGACTCACACTACAAAAAAAACACAATTATTCCATTACTGCCACATCACCGACAGAGCTGTAGCCTCAAAATACTTAATAAATAACGTACTCTTTGAGCTGGTCGACATCTCTCTGCTTCTGCTCAATCTCATCTCGGAGGCGACTCAGCTGTTTTTGATGAACCTCTCTGTGGTTCTCCATCTGTTCCTCCAGAGTTCTCTACAGATCATACAGCAGGAACACTTTAGTTCTTTAACTCGCTTCATTTACCTACAGCCTCTGATCAGAAACAGTGTGACAACATGAGAGGATTTTACCTTCATCTCAACAGCATCTTTCAGTCTGCTCATGTGTTCTTTCTCTTTGTCCATCACGGTCACCTCGTGCATTTGACCTAACACACACACACACACACACACACACACACACACACACACACACACACCAGTTTTTATCTTAAAGCTGTTGTGTTTAACAAAGATTTTCTGACAGAACAAACTGAGTTTGTTCTCATCTCTAATCTGTTTGATGTTAACAGACAGCTGCCAGCCAATCAGAGAGCAGTGTTTCCTGTAACCATGGTGACATTGTCTGACCTTGAGCATTGAGTTTAGCGACCTCCTCCATCAGAGCGTCCTGACTCTCCTCCAGCTTCCTCTTCTTCTGCTCCACCTTCTGCAGGTCGTCTGTCAGGGATGCAATCTTCGCCTGGAGCTGCAACAAACACACGGAGGACAATCAGCATTCAAATAAAAACGACCATTATTATAAGCTGTTTTTAACTCCCTTAAACTAAACCGTGCAGATCAGAACCCATCAGAACCTCCATTTAGCCTGCTACCTGCGAGACGAGCAGCTGGCAGGTGTTGAGCTCCTTCTCGTTGGCCTCCACCCTGCAGATGTTCTCAGTCAGGTTGACCTCCAGCTGTTTGCTGCGGTTCACCAGAGACTTGACCTCAGACTTCATCTTACTGACGTAGAGACGAGCTGTGGTGAACTCCTCCTCCATCACTCCGCTCGTCTCCGTCATCTGAAGAAAGACAGAAAGAGATACTGACGGGACAGCAGGCGGGTTTCCATACCCGGATCCTTCGAAGGGACACAGCGAGTACCCGGATCCTTCGAAGGGACACAGCGAGTACCCGGATCCTTCGAAGGGACACAGCGAGTACCCGGTCCAAGTGGCTGTTTTCTTATCCAGCCAAACAGGCAACAGGATATTTATCTGTTTTTTAAACTTTTTTTGTAAAGATGAGTGTGATGAGTGAAATGTGACACAGTAGAAAAAGAATTGCATACTTACAGCTTTGAGGTCTGTGGTACCAAGGACACTGCCGATGTCACTGAGGTCTCTGAGCAGCAGACTGAGGATGTCTGCTGACCTCTTCTTATGATGAGAACTGACCTCCTGCAGGGTGGACAACTCCCTTTGAACCGCCTCGAGACTCACCTGGAAACACAGGACAAAAAGAACAGCTGATCTCTACCAAACATACAACAAATTCCTGCTGTCCTAGAATCTTAACAGCCCAACATCCTACCATCCTAATGTCTAATGTCCACCTTTTCTACCGTCCAACTATCTTACCAGCCAAACATCCTACCATCCTAATGTCCAATTTCCACCTTTTCTACCGTCCAACTATCTTACCAGCCAAACATCCTACCATCTTAATGTCCAATTTCCACCTTTTCTACCGTCCAACTATCTTACCAGCCAAACATTCTACCATCCTAATGTCCAATTTCCACCTTTTCTACCGTCCAACTATCTTACCACCCAAACATCCTACCATCCTAATGTCCAATTTCCACCTTTTCTACCGTCCAACTATCTTACCACCCAAACATCCTACCATCCTAATGTCCAATTTCCACCTTTTCTACCGTCCAACTATCTTACCAGCCAAACATCCTACCATCCTAATGTCCAATTTCCACCTTTTCTACCGTCCAACTATCTTACCACCCAAACATCCTACCATCCTAATGTCCAATTTCCACCTTTTCTACCGTCCAACTATCTTACCACCCAAACATCCTACCATCCTAATGTCCAATTTCCACCTTTTCTACTGTCCAACTATCTTACCAGCCAAACATTCTACCATCCTAATGTCCAATTTCCACCTTTTCTACCGTCCAACTATCTTACCAGCCCAACATCCTACCATCCTAATGTCCAATTTCCACCTTTTCTACCGTCCAACTATCTTACCAGCCCAACATCCTACCATCCTAATGTCCAATTTCCACCTTTTCTACCGTCCAACTATCTTACCAGCCAAACATTCTACCATCCTAATGTCCAATTTCCACCTTTTCTACCGTCCAACTATCTTACCACCCAAACATCCTACCATCCTAATGTCCAATTTCCACCTTTTCTACCGTCCAACTATCTTACCAGCCAAACATTCTACCATCCTAATGTCCAATTTCCACCTTTTCTACCGTCCAACTATCTTACCAGCCAAACATTCTACCATCCTAATGTCCAATTTCCACCTTTTCTACCGTCCAACTATCTTACCACCCAAACATTCTACCATCCTAATGTCTAACGTCCCCCTTTTCTACCGTCCAACTATCTTACCAGCCAAACATTCTACCATCCTAATGTCCAATGTCCACCTTTTCTACCGTCCAACTATCTTACCAGCCAAACATTCTACCGTCCTAATGTCCACCTTTTCTACCGTCCTATCTTACCACCCAAACATTCTACCGTCCTAATGTCCAATGTCCACCTTTTCTACCGTCCAACTATCTTACCAGCCAAACATTCTACCATCCTAATGTCCAATTTCCACCTTTTCTACCGTCCAACTATCTTACCAGCCCAACATCCTACCATCCTAATGTCCAATTTCCACCTTTTCTACCGTCCAACTATCTTACCAGCCAAACATTCTACCATCCTAATGTCCAATTTCCACCTTTTCTACCGTCCAACTATCTTACCACCCAAACATTCTACCCTCCTAATGTCTAACGTCCCCCTTTTCTACCGTCCAACTATCTTACCACCCAAACATTCTACCATCCTAATGTCCAATTTCCACCTTTTCTACCGTCCAACTATCTTACCACCCAAACATTCTACCATCCTAATGTCCAATTTCCACCTTTTCTACCGTCCAACTATCTTACCAGCCAAACATTCTACCATCCTAATGTCTAATGTCCACCTTTTCTACCGTCCAACTATCTTACCACCCAAACATTCTACCGTCCTAATGTCCACCTTTTCTACCGTCCTATCTTACCACCCAAACATTCTACCGTCCTAATGTCCAATGTCCACCTTTTCTACCGTCCAACTATCTTACCACCCAAACATTCTACCATCCTAATGTCCAATTTCCACCTTTTCTACCGTCCAACTATCTTACCACCCAAACATTCTACCGTCCTAATGTCCAATGTCCACCTTTTCTACCGTCCTATCTTACCACCCAAACATTCTACCGTCCTAATGTCTAATGTCCACCTTTTCTACCGTCCAACTATCTTACCACCCAAACATTCTACCATCCTAATGTCCAATTTTCACCTTTTCTACCGTCCAACTATCTTACCAGCCAAACATTCTACCATCCTAATGTCCAATTTCCACCTTTTCTACCGTCCTATCTTACCACCCAAACATTCTACCATCCTAATGTCTAATGTCCACCTTTTCTACTGTCCAACTACCTTACCACCCAAACATTCTACCGTCCTAATGTCCAATTTCCACCTTTTCTACCGTCCAACTATCTTACCACCCAAACATTCTACCGTCCTAATGTCCAATTTCCACCTTTTCTACCGTCCAACTATCTTACCAGCCAAACATTCTACCATCCTAATGTCCAATTTCCACCTTTTCTACCGTCCTATCTTACCACCCAAACATTCTACCATCCTAATGTCCAATTTCCACCTTTTCTACCGTCCAACTATCTTACCACCCAAACATTCTACCATCCTAATGTCCAATTTCCACCTTTTCTACCGTCCAACTATCTTACCACCCAAACATTCTACCATCCTAATGTCCAATTTCCACCTTTTCTACCGTCCAACTATCTTACCACCCAAACATTCTACCATCCTAATGTCTAATGTCCACCTTTTCAACCGTACAACTATCTTACCACCCAAACATCCTACCATCCTAATGTCCAATTTCCACCTTTTCTACCGTCCAACTATCTTACCACCCAAACATTCTACCCTCCTAATGTCTAACGTCCCCCTTTTCTACCGTCCTACTATCTTACCACCCAAACATTCTACCATCCTAATGTCTAACACACTGACATCCATCTGTCCTACCATCTTATAGCCATACTTTATGTGGACTTACAGTTTTGTGTGCGAGCTCCTCGTTCAGCTGTTCATTGCAGCGGTTCTTGTTCTCCACCTCTTGGCTCTTGTGGTCGTAGTTGACAGCCAGCTCCTCCAGCGCCTGCAGCACCTCCTTCACCTCCTCTTTGGCCGACTCACTGTCCCTCTGCAGCCGCGACAGCTCCTCCTGCAGACGCTCGTAGTCTTGATGGCCCGATGCCAACAGCTTGATGGATTATGAAGAGGTGGAGGGATGATGATTAGATCCACGGGGGGAGATTTGTGCAGCACAAGTTGTAATGCTCAGGTGAGACTCACCTCGTCCTGTTCAATCAGCTGCTGTTTGAGTTTCTCAGCTGTTTGACTGTGATGGTTGATCTCATCGTCCTGAAACATGAGGCGTCAGATGTTTAATGTTTTGAATACTCAAACAGAACAATTCTATTCAATTCAGTTTTATTAATATAGCAGCAAATCACAACAACAGTTATCTCAGAGCACTTTTCACAAAGAGCAGGTCTAGACCGTACTCTGTGAAAACCAACAGTTCCCACCAAGAGCAGCACTAGGAGACAGAGGCAAGGAAAAACTTCCTTTAAGAGGCAGAAACCTCGAGCAGAACCATGACTCAGGGTGGGCGGCCATCTGCCTCCACCGGTTGGGGGTGAAGGAGAGAGAGAGAGAGAAAGGCAGCCTACACAATAACAATATACACACAGAAGTACAGACAGTAAAGATAATGTTCAGACTGAATAATATAGGAACAAGAGGGTCTGAGCTGGGACAGGTAAGACTCCCCTAACTACACAAACTCTCATGCTGTCTGGGCTCCTACTCAGGGTGGAGGTGTTACTTTAATCATTTTTATTCGTTTGAGGCTCTGGAATTAAAACCATCAGCTATACGTAGCTTTGTGAAAGTAAACTGATCCCTCCCTCTGGTACTCTGTATACCTCCAGGCCCTCACTCACAATTTGTAAAGGAATCTTATTTCTAGAGATCCACAGACTGCAGTTTTTTTGGCTGATTTAAATTTCTGATGTTTAAAGTCTGACATGCTGATTCTAGCTGATCCAAAGTTCTTTCTTTATATAGATAGATAGATAGATAGATAGATATAGAACTATAACTGAGAGCATACACAAACATTTCTATAGCTTCTCTTTATTAGGATCCCTTATCAGTGTATAAGTATTGGCTGTTTTTCCTGGGGTCCATTCAACTGCTGCAGTCTTGTCTCAGCACCAGAGCCTGTAGACCATAACTATAGACCAGTCTCTGGCCTTCCAGTAAAGAAACCATACCCTGATCCAGGATCTCTCAATAACTATAGACCAGTCTCTGACCTAGTTTGTGTTCATCCTGCCAACAGGAATTCAACAGATTGCAAACGTTGTGATGTGGACTGGTTCTCTCTAAAGCCCCCTGCTGTTCATGCTTCTGTGCCCTAAAAGCTGCCAAGCTGTGCATGCTGTTGTCCTCTGTGTTGATTGGTCTGTCCTCTCTGCAGAGAAGCTGCTCACCTGTCCCCCTGGATCCATTATTTTTTACTATCTACATTTTGTTAGGGCCCACTGAAACTAAAGGAATTCTTATTTTTCTTTTATCAACAGCCCAAAGGTTCTCGAAGACTCACGAAACTTTGCACAGACGTCAGACGTGATGGAAATGGGTCTCATGCATGTGTGCAGAAAATAACTCGCTAGCGCCCCCTACAAAACTTCAACAAAGCACTACTTTTCACCTACATGCACAATATTTTTGTTGGACATGTATCATATCTTGGACCCATACCCTAAACCCAACAGGAAGTCAGCCATTTTGAATTGAAGGTGAAATTTGCCCAGAAGACATTCACTAATACCCATAGCGCCACCTGCTGGCAACAGGAAGTAAGGCCTGTGTGACACTCAAAGTGTGGTCCGCACTTGATGTTCTGGTACACAACATAGAATTACCAGGTGTTCTCTAGCACCACATAGGGGACACAGGAAGCGACCTTTAACTCTCCTGTCTGCTGCTTTTCCTGAGCTTTCTGAAACGTTGTCCCTGTTTTTTGGGGAGTTTTCCCACGTTTGAATCGAGGGTGTAAGGACAGAGGGTATGGTATGCTGTGCAGACTGTAAAGCCCTCAGGCAGACTGTAATTTTTGACTTTGGGCTGTATATAAATACTCGACCTTGTAATGCAGGTAAGACTTACCTTGTCGTCCAGCTGATGATACAGGTCGGTGATGAGCGTCTCGTACTGCGTCTTCTCCTCTTCTAACAGAGGGACAGGGGGCGGGGCCAAACTTTCAATCACTGCTGCTGTTTCACTGCTGCTGCTTTTCTTATTTCTGCTGCTCAGCTGCTCCTCCACAGGTACAGACTCACCTGCAGAAGTTAAGAAAGGTTCAGCCTGACAGGCGACGCAGAGAAAACCATTTCACTGGTTTTAATTCCCTCTGGAAAATTACCTGTTAGCTGCTGACCTGTTAGCCGCTGAGCCGTTAGCTGCTGAGCCGTTAGCCGCTGACCTGTTAGCTGCTGAGCCGTTAGCTGCTGAGCCGTTAGCCCCTGACCTGTTAGCTGAGCTTTTAGCGCCAACTCAGCTCTTCAAATAAAGGTGGAAACAGCTGATCGTAGTGGTCAACGGCTTCCGCCTTCAACATGATATAACTTTAACGGCATACTTGGACGTGTGGAAACATCACCTTACTGTGCACCAGTTTAGTAGGGAAAAACTGTCCAATCAGAGCAGAGTATGTAAATTCTGTGTTAAACACTCTTCAGGCTGATGAGAGACTAGATCCGTAGCGGTTTATAACAAAGCTCTGAGCAAGGCAAGCCTTGTTCTCTGGTCTCATCAATGAAAACAGGAATAACACAAAAGGATTGTTTTCTAAACTTTAAACTACTTAGCGATACAGAGGGTTAGGGGTTAGGTAATGGGTAAGGAAATCTGAGAGTGTTTTCCATTTTACTTTTTCAGATTGTTGTGTTTTACAATTTAAGCACATTTGGTCATCAGAAATATTCATGTAGTGGATGTATAAAAGTTGAGCAACTCAATAAAAAAATATTAAAAATGCAATCAATATCACTGAATTTGATGTATCTAACCAATTGTGCATCTAGAAATGTTGAAATGTAGGCCTATATGAAACTATTTATGGGCACAATTCACAATGAATGTATTATTGCATACTTTTTTGGCAGGACAGCTTCCATGCTGCTTGATCCAGCTTTTTATTTTTTCCAACAGTAAAAACTTCAATATGACGACATGTGTGTGTCACGGTAGTTCTGCCTAAGCACTCACAGTTCTTACCCTCTCTTTTGCTCGGTGTGTGCTTCCTTTAGGCAATATTACCTGGAAACACTCCATAAACTTTCATTGTTATGCAGATGATACTCAGTTATATCTATCAATTAAGCCAGATCGAACTAATCAGTAAGTAACCCCTGTAAGGTTTAGTGTTAGGGGTTCTGATGCTTCTGTAAGGCATTAGTATTAGGGGTTCTGGTGCTTCTGTAAGGCATTAGTGTTAGGGGTTCTGGTGCTTCTGTAAGGCATTAGTGTTAGGGGTTCTGATGCTTCTGTAAGGCATTAGTATTAGGGGTTCTGGTGCTTCTGTAAGGCATTAGTGTTAGGGGTTCTGGTGCTTCTGTAAGGCATTAGTGTTAGGGGTTCTGGTGCCTCTGTAAGGGGTTCTGGTGCCTCTGTAAGGCATTAGTGTTAGGGGTTCTGGTGCCTCTGTAAGGGGTTCTGGTGCCTCTGTAAGGGGTTAGGGGTTCTGGTGCCTCTGTAAGGCGTTAGTGTTAGGGGTTCTGGTGCCTCTGTAAGGGGTTAGGGGTTCTGGTTCCTCTGTAAGGCATTAGTGTTAGGGGTTCTGGTGCCTCTGTAAGGGGTTCTGGTGCCTCTGTAAGGGGTTAGGAGTTCTGGTGCCTCTGTAAGGCGTTAGTGTTGGGGGTTCTGGTGCCTCTGTAAGGGGTTAAGGGTTCTGGTTCCTCTGTAAGGCATTAGTGTTAGGGGTTCTGGTGCCTCTGTAAGGGGTTCTGGTGCCTCTGTAAGGGGTTAGGAGTTCTGGTGCCTCTGTAAGGCGTTAGTGTTAGGGGTTCTGGTGCCTCTGTAAGGGGTTAAGGGTTCTGGTTCCTCTGTAAGGCATTAGTGTTAGGGGTTCTGGTGCCTCTGTAAGGGGTTAGGGGTTCTGGTGCCTCTGTAAGGGGTTCTGGTGCCTCTGTAAGGGGTTAGGGGTTCTGGTGCCTCTGTAAGGCATTAGTGTTACGGGCTCTGGTGCCTCTGTAAGGGGTTCTGGTGCCTCTGTAAGGGGTTAGGGGTTCTGGTGCCTCTGTAAGTCATTAGTGTTACGGGCTCTGGTGCCTCTGTAAGGGGTTCTGGTGCCTCTGTAAGGGGTTAGGGGTTCTGGTACCTCTGTAAGGGGTTCTGGTGCCTCTGTAAGGGCTTAGGGGTTCTGGTGCCTCTGTAATGTGGATGCTGTATTCCTGTGGTTACCTTTCCTCCAGCGCTTCAGCTCAGTCTCCAGTTTCTGTATCATGATACTCAGACTCCTGCTCTTCTCTTTCTCCTTCTCATATTTCTTCTTCCACTCTTCGGCGGTCAGCTCCAGGTTCACCGACACTGTGTTCTTTATGGTTTTAGCTCTGAAGCACAGAAACATCATAGGAAGTTAACACTCAGGTAACTGTCAGGTCAGATGATGGACAAAGTGCCTTATGGGATCACAGCGCTGACCATCCTGTTGCTGTACAATAAATGATGCAAGATTGAGACTAAATGTTTCCATGACCTGCTTTAAAAGGCTGACAGTGTTTTGACTGAAGCCAAAGGATTTGAAGAAGGCATCAGTGTAATGTTTGAATGTGTAGCCCCTCCATCGGGCGACCAATGATCTGCTGTTCTTTAACTGGGGAACAACTTTGGATCACTTCTACAACACAGTTAACAGTGCCTATCACGCCGTCCCCCGTGCTGCTCTGGGACACTCTGACCACGTCACGGTCCACCTGATTCCTGCATACGGGCCGAAAATAAAACTTTGTAAACCTGTAGTAAAGAAGTGGAGCTTCTGACTGCCACTTACAGTCTGCACGAGTTTACTGATGCTGTGATGTCCTACATCAGTTTCAGCGAGGACAGCTGTGCACCAACACACACCAGGGTGAGTTATAACAGTGACAAACCCTGGTCTACAGCTAAACTCAGACAGCTAAGGTTGGAAAAGGAGGAGGAATTTAGGAGTGGGTGCAGGGCTTTAAAGTACAGGTTTAGCAAAGAGGTGCAAGACGTTAAACGACTGTACTCTAAAGGACCAGTTCTCTGCAAACGATCCCCTCCTCATCTCAGAGAGGGCAGTCAACAGACTATTCAAGAGGCAGAAACCCCACAAAGCAGCTGGGCCGGACTCTGTCTCTGACTCTGACATGGCATGTGCCAGCCTGCTTCAAAGCCTCTACCATCAACCTGCTCTCCCATCTGAGCGTGCCGGACTCCACCAACATGTCTCTGACTCCAGGATCATCAGCACCGGTTCCCCTCAAAACAGCGTTCTTTGCCCCCTGCTGTTGAACATCACCTCCCTCACCAAGAAGGCCCAGCAGAGGATGTACTTCCTGCAGCAGCCTGCCAAAGACAATGATGGTGCACTTCTACACCGCCATCATTGAGTCCATCCTCACCTCCTCCATCACCATCTGGTACGCTGCTGCCACCGCCAGGGACAAGGGCAGGCTGCAGCGTATCATTCACTCTGCAGAGAAGGTGATTGGCTGCAATCTTCCTTCTCTTCTGGACCTGTACGCCTCCAGGACTCTGAGGCGAGCAGGAAAGATTGCAGCTGACTCCTCCCACCCCGGACACAAACTGCTTCAGACTCTCCCCTCTGGCAGGGCTCAGCCACTTTCAGTAAGTGTGTTGTTTGCCTGTATGAACTTTGTGTGGTGGTCAAGAACAAAAGCTTGTCAATAAAAGAGAGTTCAGGGGACGTGTGTGTGCAGGATTCTTTTTCTTTCCAAGCCAAGAGTTTGTGATCCTACGCACCTGCAGACTTCACTTTACATTTCTTTGAAATGACTTTATGAGCCAGCCAGCGAGCTGATGCAGTGATGTCAGTTACATGGTAATATCTGTTTGAACAGGCGCCACCATAAGCTGCTTGTCACACACAGACTGGGCTGCACTTGGTTTCTAATCAAACTCTCATTTCAGTGACTATGTGTTCAACAGGAACAGCGATGGCGGCTGGTTTACACCGGCCTACAACCTTTAGGCCTATCACAGGATATGTTTGGAAAGACTCATGCCGTAAAACTAAAAAGGAATACAAAACTAAATCTGCCTTTTTAGATAAACATCTGGTCCTGTTGGTGGCGCCAGAGGAAGATCAGAGGGCGCCCAGCAGCGTTCTGATGAGTGAATATTAACTGCAGAGGTCATTAAAGCTGCTCTGTAGTTCAGACATCTTGTCCTGGACTAAAGAGTTGGACCGACTGACGGCAGCTACACCAGCAGCCTCGTCTGGATTTAATTCTTTATTCCAAAGGAACATCTGTGAGATGTGCTCCTGTACAGGGCTGGGGTTCCTGTACCTCTGTCCGAACATGAGGGTGGACTTGGTTTCAGCCTCGTTGTAAACAGACGGAGAGCAGCAGATGATGATGGTGGTTCGACAGTTTCCTCCCAGAGAGTCCTGCAGGATTCGAGTCATCTTACTGTCTCTGTACGGGACGTGGGTTTTCTACAAACAGAGAGATAAGATCCACACACGGGTTTTAGTGGCGAGGGTGGAGTGTAGCAATGTGACATTTAGATACGGCTGAATATTTAGTTTCATTTAGTCATGTGAGGGTTAGGAACCTGAAGCTCACCGTTCCTTCACTCAGAGCAGCGATGACGTTACCGAGAGCAGACAGAGACTTGTTGATGTTCTTGGCTTCGTCCAGCACGGCGCCTTCTGCTCCCGTTTTACTCACCTGAAGAAAACATCATCATCATCAGCTGTTTGTGAAATAACTGGGACGAGGCCGATGAACGTCTGAATGATGAAGTAATAATCAGCCATCTGTTCCTGTATATAATCAGTTTGAATGATACATTTTTACGACCCGTGGGCCGTTTATGTGGATATGGGATGTCAGGAACAACCTGAGGAGCGCGGCTGATTCCACTCTCCTAATCAGTGAGAGTATAAGGGCCGGAGAAGCAAGCTGCTGTGGTGAGAGTATGGTGGTCTACAGCCAAAGAGACCGGAGTCTGCGGCGAGCGCGTGGCAGCGACCGGCAGTGGGAGTCCTGCGGTTTAGTGTAGAGATTTACTGTTTTTGTTTGCACGCTGTGCTTGTGTTCCTAACATTGATGGATTTCAGATAACTGCCAGAGTGCTGCTCTCTGGAGGTTTCTGCGCTGACATGTAGAGGAACTGCCTCTGGCATGTTGGGAAATGTTACTGCTCCTCCTAAACATTCTGATAAAGGCCAAAGCCCAGCGGTGTTGGGATGTGATCATGAAATAACCTTCTCGCTGCCTGCCAGGTCGACCAGGTACAACTTCCCCGACAGTTTCATCTCCGTCTCCACGTTCTCCTGCTTGATGTTGATCAGAAAAATACTGTGACTGCGAGAGCTGTGCTCGTTCATATCTGCAAGACGAAACAGAGGGAAACACAGCTTCATCAATAAACTCCTCAGAACCAGGCGTGTTGGTCAGTGTTTAACTGCAGCCTCCAGGGGGCGCTATGACGATTTATCTAGGAAGAGTCTTTCTGGAGGAGAAACCTGTATCTGAGGTTAAAGAACTCTAAGAAGAATAATAATGGCAACAAGAACACTAGACGTAGGAGTGAAGGTATAATAGCATTAGCAGTACTTTCAGAAGTAGTAATGTGTTTATGGACTCAAATCATGCAAACCTGCTGAACTAAATGCTTATACTCAGCTCTTGGCCACAACTCTAGGGCTAGTCTTAGACCTGGACTTGTGATTTGAACCCCACGTAAAGAAAGTTATAGTTCAGCTGTGTGTTTATCATTTGAGAAATCTAGCCAGAGTCAAGTCTTTAATTTCAGCCACAGATCTGCAGAAACTCAGTCAGAAACCAGTTCATCACCACCAGTTACTTCAACACCTTTTTTTACTTTGAAGGCCAGATACAGACTGGCACAAGTTTTCATACCTCTCAAACTTCCCACATTACAACCACAAACGTATCTTATTGGGATTTCATGTGATAGACCAACACAATGTGGCGAGCAATCGAAGTGGAAGGAAAATGATTTATACAAATAAAGATATCAGCAGAACAGTTAGACTCACTGGTGACGGCGACGTGTCTGTTTGCTTTCCCCTCGTCGATGACGTCCATCACTTCTTCAGGACTGGAAACAAAACGCTCCGTGCAGCCCTGACAGGAAGTATACATCAACAAAGTACTGATACTGCAGTACTGATACTGCATATTTTGATCCTTTAAATATCAAAGATGATACCTTCACAAAAGGAACCCTGTTTTTGTCCTCATGAACAGCCAGGTTTGTCTTTGACACTGAAAGATGAATCACATCAGTTAGAGCCGTTTGTTAAATATGATTATTACATTTCAACAGGAAAACCAAACATTTGGCTCACATACATATTCAGAAGATTCAGGCGTCACGTCCTGTACCAGTAAAAATACATTAAATAAAAGGGTGGAAATATTCAAACCAACATGACAAAAAGGGTTCCCGTGTTTTACGAAAGAAGTTTCCACGTCAAACAGTCCAATGCAACGTATTCAAATAAAACCCTTTAGCCACCGAACCTTTCTCTGTGATCCAGGTCTTTTCCAAGCATCATCTGTTATCTTAAGTTCTCTTTCCCAGAAGCCCTTCAGAGGGGAGGTGTTTGTGATGTTCCACCCCTTCAGCGAATGATCGCATAAGATAACTGAACTGCCAGATCTTTGCTAAAAGAGGCGTCTCTCTTAGTGTGAGACGTTTTGAAACTGAAGCATCGTGGCATCTCCTGTGACAAAGTCTCTTACTCGCAAATATCAAAAGAAATCCAGTCTTTGAATATCATATTATTTCTTTTTCAACTGACTAAAAGACATCACGGTGGAGCCTCCGTGTAGTTTGTGAGGTTTTATATACTGTATATAATATAAATAAATGTGAAAAATGATCCTCACCGTCGAGTAAGTCTCTGATTTTATCCAGATAGATCTCAAAATAAGAAACCTGCAGAGAAAAAGAGAGAGAGATGTTATAATACAGATATTTACTGCATGCTACTGAAACATTTTAAATTCACTCATTTAGAGCCAAAGAAGATATTATAGAAATGTTTTCACAGGCTGAGGACCAAAAGCAAATTTAATGTGTAGAAATCATGATTCACTATTAATTATCATATATTATTATTATTGAAAATATGTTTAATCAGCATTTAATGATTACTTTTTTTTGTAATCCCGGACAACATAAAATAACACACAAATTCTCAATTGAAATCAATTGATCTAAAAGCTGTAAAAAGATTTTCTATGAGCTCTTATCAATAGGTAAATTAATATGAAGTATGTTTCATGGTGTTTCTAAAAAGAGGTGCTGGTATATGTGAGAGCAGCTGGTGAACAGTGAACATACGGAGAGCAGGAGGGTCAGTGAACGCCTCACTGGTTCATAATGCTGCCAGAAGAACAGCGTCTCTGCAGGACGTCTGACCACAGATCAGTTAAACTGAGAGGACTTTCGTGTTTAGTTCATTTCTTCCAGCTGAATATGTTGAGGTGTTTTTATTGGGTTGGGTGACCAAAGAAAGTGATGAAGACTCACTGACATGTGGACAGCAGCTGTTTGCACACGTGTAAATCAGTCATTTAACTTTAATTTGTGTTTTTCAGGTGTTCCTACATGTTCATATGTGACTGGAGCACCTTAAATGCAGGTTACTGCAGGGAAAGTGATTCTCAGGACAAACAAGGCAGCAGAAGGAAATCAAAATGTTTTAGTAAACGATCTTTTATGGTTTCAGTTTGACGGCTCCGGACTAATGTGACCTTGATGTGAAACTCCAGGTTCTCGTCCATGGAGTAGATGTGGTCGAAGATGTCTCTGGAGATACGAGGAATGATTCCCATCTGATGAGGATCGTGCAGGTTCCCCTGGAAAAATAAAATAATATAGGTCAAAAACAGAAAAACATCTTTTCAGCGGTGAGCGCTCGGGTCTCTCAGCGTCTGCAGTGACACTCGGACATGTGAGCAGCATGGCCTCCTCACATCGTGGGGCGTTTACTGTAAACGCTTTACCTTACTGGTGATCTTAATTGTTCTCATGTGCTTTAAAGCACTCTTCCTACTTTCTACTGCAACTGCTGCACACCAGCTTCCCTAGAGATTTATTTTATTTTATCTGAAGTGTGTTCATGATGTTAAAGAAACTAAGAGAAAGCAGGATAAATGACAAAAACACAAAACCAAGTTGTTGAGAAACACAGATTAGAATAACTAAAATAAAGCTGCAGCTAAAGCTTTGGTCTGTAAAATGTGCAGCTTGTTCTCAAATTAAAAACAGGATTAACTGCACGCTGAATATATAACTGTATCAATGTAACATCCAACAGTAAAAACTACTTCTTAGTGTATGTTGTTTGTGTGTTTAATGATCATTTGTCAGGTGTTCACAAATACGCTGTTCAAGAGACTCCGATCCACAAGTGCTGTTCACAAATCACCAATACTGAGACTTTCCATATGTTACACTGAAACACGTTCATTAAAATGCATTAAAAATAATAAAGTGAATCAGACCAACCTCCATGGTGTGAGTCTTTCCAGACGACGTCTGACCGTAAGCAAAGATGGTCCCGTTATATCCTCCCAACACATCTGCAACACACAACACACCTTCTCATTTTAACATGTTATTAAGATGAAACCTGCGTCCTCTCCAGCAGCCAGCAGGGGGCCAATCAAAGTTCACGGAAACATTTTGGTCCTGAAAACTGATCAGTACAGTCGTAGGAAAGGTATCTGAACCCTTTAGAATCACCTGGATTTCTGCATAAATTGGTCATAAAATGTGATCTGATCTTCCTCAGAGTCAAAAACAATTACATGTTTTCATGTTTTCTGCTGCGCCCCGACCCTGGATAAGCGGATGAAGATGGACAGATGGATGTTTTTTGTCAACACACCATGTAAAAAGGTGGAAAAAATATGGATTTACTAACTGGTTGACCCTCCTTTGGTTTCATGTAGTTGCAGATCAAACGGTCAACTTTGGGCCGTTTCTCTTTACAAAACTGTTTCAGTGATATTCTTGGGATGTCTGGCTTGAATCTCTCTCTTGTGGTCTTGCCTACAGCATCTCAGTCGGGTTGAGGTCAGGACTCTGACTGGGCCACTCCAGAAAGAGTACTTTCTTCTGCTGAATCCGTTCTGTTGTTGATTTACTTCTTATCATCCATCTCCTGCTGAGCTTCAGCTGGCGGACAGATGGCCTCACGTTACCCTGCAGAATGTCTTGATAAACTCCATTACTGTTTAGTGTTTGACGTATCGTAGAGTCGCCAACGGAGATGTTAGGGTGTCCCAGAGATTTCTATAAGTCTTCAGCTAACACTCTCGGATCCTTCTTAACCTCGCTGAGCATTCTGCGCTGTGCTCGTGCAGTTGTCTCTGCAGGACGGCCAGGGAGAGCAGCGACAGGCTGAACCATTCATAGACAGTTTGTCTCACTGTGGACTGATGGACATCAGGACTGTTAGGACATTTCTGTAACCCTTTCCAGCTTCATGCAAGTCAACAACTCTTAATCTTCTTCTGAGAGCTCTTTTGGTCGAGGCGAGGTTCGCATCCTGCAATGCTTCATGAGAACAGCTAAATTAAAAGTGGTGTGTGTTTTTTATTGGGCAGGGCAGCTCTAACCAACACCTCCGCTCTGGTCTCATTGATTGGACTCCAGGTTGGCTGACTCCTGATTCCAGTTAGCCTTTAGGGAAGTCATTAGCCGAGGGGTTCACATACTGTTTCCAGCCTGCACTGTGAACGTTTCCACGCTGCGTTCAATAAAACATGAAAACATATAATTGTTTCTGTGGAGTTAGTTTCAGCAGACTGTGTTTGTCTGTTGTTGTGACTCAGATGAAGATCAGATCACATTTAATGCCCAAGTTATGCAGAAATCCAGGTGATTCCACAGGGTTCACATACTTTAACCTGCGACTGAATTCAGTTTTCCCAAGAAACTGGCTCTAAACATCATGATGGAAGAACAACAAACATATAAAGTGTGTTTATGAACTGACCTTTAACGATCTGTCTGGCGCAGGTGTCATACACCTGAACCTGTTCAGTGTTTGGAGCGAGGACTCTGTCAAACACATACGGCTTCCCCTGAAACACAGGAAACACACCGTCAAAATAAAACTCTTCAACATACGGCTTATCCTTAAACACCGGAAACACACCGTCAAAATAAAACCCTTCAACATACGGCTTCCCCTGAAACACAGGAAACACACCGTCAAAATAAAACCCTTCAACATACGGCTTCCCCTGAAACACAGGAAACACACCGTCAAAATAAAACCCTTCAACATACGGCTTCTCTTCTTACATCATATTATCACTAATGGAAAGAAAAAAGTTGGATTACCAGTGAGACGTTAGTGTTACTCTGAGGAAGACCATGCACTGTGACTGAAAGCTCCATCATTAGTCATCACTGAGTTTATTCTCAGTGTGATTGTTGGTGAAGTCGCAGATTCAGAAAAATGTCTTTTTTATCTTCTAGCAACATGAAAGTGTGCGACTCTGCAGACGAATGTTGATGAATGACATTTAGCTGATCTGAGGACAGTTTGAAGGTTTTATCAGCGTCTGACACAAAGAGACGTTCAGACTGAGAGCAGCTCTCTGAATATTAAACTGTTCATGAGAAGTCTGTTTATCTCCTGGATAAAGAGAAGCAGGGTCAATACATCGTCAATACTTCCAATCAATTTTATTTATAGCACATTCAAAAAACAGCAAGGTTACCGAAGTGCTTTACAACGATATAATACATAAAACAACATAAAAGTATACAAACATCAACAACAACAACAACAAGGACCACAGCTACTCTTTATGGTGCAGTAAAAGCCAAGGAGTACAAATGTGTTTTTAAACGAGATTTAAAAGTATGGAGGGTGGGTGCCAGTTTAATATGCGTAGGGAAATCATTCCACAATTTGGGGGCAAATGTTGAAAAGGAACGGTCACCCCTAGTTTTCATCCTAGTCTTTGGCACAATTAGCCGCATATGATCCGCAGACCTCAATGACCTTGGTGGGGTATAAATATGCAAAAGCTCAGATATACTGAGCTGCCAACCCATTTAATGATTTAAAAACAAAAATCAAAATCTTAAAATGTATTCTAAAATGTATAGGAAGCCAGTGAAGCGAGGCCAGAATGGGAGTAATGTGTTCATGTTTCCGGATTCAGGTAAAGAAACGGACGGCAGCATTTTGGACTAACTGCAGTTTGATTCACGCCTATATAAAGTGCATTAGTAGTCCAAATGTGTCGAAATAAAAGCATGAATCGCATGCTCAAAAAGGTCAAAAGTTGAAACATGTTTAATTTTCAATAAAAGCCTCAAATGATAAAAACTGGATTTTACCACACTAGTTATCGGCTAAATTTGTGACTACTGGTTTTACGTTTTGTTGCAAGGGCCCAAGGTTTACAGGAATGGAAACACCGCCGACTGGTTCCAAATACAATGACCTCAGTTTATTCTTCATTTAAATTTAAGAAATTATACGACATCCAGGCCTTAATGTCCTTGAGACATTCAAATAGAGGAATAAAAGAACTATTTGCATTTTTTCTCAGGGGTAGGTAGATTAGCGAGTCATCCGCATAGAAGTGGTATGAAATGCCATGTTTTTTAAAAATGTTTCCGAGAGGGAGAAGGTATAAAGAGAATAGTAGTGGTCGAAGCACTGAGCCCTGTGGAACTCCACTAAGAAGGGAGGCGGTAGATGATGACGGAAAAACATTGCTCAGATAAATAAGATCTGAAACACTGCAAAGCAGCATCTCCGATACCTACACACTGTTCCGGGCGAGAGAATGTCGTGATCAGTTGTATCAAAAGCAGCAGTAAGGTCTACCAAGGGTCACACGGTCTGCAATTAGTAAAAGATCATTAAAAACTCTTAAAAGTGCTGTCTCAGTACTATGAAAAGCCTTAAAACCACATAAATAAAAATACCACTTGTATCCAGATTTGACTTGTAAGATTTTAAGTGCATAAATACAGTTTTTTCTGAAACCTTTTGCTATAAAAAGGAAGCTTGGATATTGGTCTATAGTTTGCTAAATTCAAAGTGTCCAGATTTTGCTTTTTAATCAACGGTACAACAGCTGCTTCTTTGCAGTGCGCTGGGACGATTCCTGATGCCAGGCTGCTGTTTATAATTTTTTGGACATTTGGTCCTATAGTGGTCCACAAATTGCCCAAACACTGTTTCACAGGGCATCATTTCCAAGGGGTCAGATACAGATTGAGAAACATGAGCTCTGATAGAGGAAATCCTGTCTAAAAAATAATTGAAAAAATTCTCACAGACTTCCTCGGAGGCTTCCAAACAAGAAGAGTGAGGTGAATGTAGAATTGAATCAATGCTTTTAAAAAGGACACGTGGTTTTAAATTTTGAACAATTCTTTCTTTTAAGTATTTAATTTTTTCAGCTGTAACAATTTTTTAATTCGTCCTCCAGCTTCCTTTTAAAATTTCATGAAAGACATAAAGCCAGTCCTTCTTCCACTGACGTTCTGCTTTCCTGCATTTTCTCCTTGCTGCTCGGGTAACATCATTAAACCAAGGCTCACATTTAGATCTAGGGAGAAACAATGTCGAGAATGCAGGTACATGTGGTGAGAGAAAGGAGGTCAATTTCTCTGTGTCATCTAAAAGACCGGCATCAGGCTGGCATGACATTTGAAAAGCACGGGAAAACTGAGCAGCAGTAGTCGGTTTAAACACACGACCTAGACGTGCACGTGCAACTGATTTAACTTTTGCACAAGACAAAATAAAATCCAATAGAACCGGCATGTGATCAGAAAATACAGCATCCTGTATCTGAATAAGATGGGCAAACCATAAGAGAGCACAAGATGTAACATATGCCCCTGCTCTTGTGTGGGTCTGCTAACATACTGTAAACAGTTAAAGGGAGGGACACCATGTGTGGTAAAATCACCAACAAGTAAGATTTTTTCATAGTCTGTCCTAATGCTGGCCAAGAAATCAGAGAATTCTACTATGAAATGTTTGTTGTACAGAATCCGATCGGCCTAAGACAAAGAAACTTAACACATGAAGAAAACATGTGATGCCAGCGTTTTACAATACAAGCCGCCCTTAAAGACAACCGCTAGCCCTCCTCCACGTCCTGTGGTCCTTGGGGAATTAAAAAAGGTACAGTCGGGGGGAAAAAGCTCTGTGCTACTGTCAAGATGTCAGCCACATGAGTTGACCGACACAGCGGCCAAAGGTTTCGGCTGTTCCTTCCACCGAGACTTTGAGGACGAGTCACGCAGATACGCGAGCCACGCTGATTCTCGTACCAGGTACCACCCAGCTTCTAGCTGTAGCAAGGCCACAACGAGAGATAATGCCAGCCGTGCCTTCATCCGGGCTAGCCAGCCTCTGCGCGTCCCTCTGCGTCTCCGGGGAGGTGGACCCTCGGTGCAGATCAGGTGAACAGGGACATCCGCCAAAAATGGAGGGGGAAATGTTTTTGATCCACCTTGGGAATAATTTACCGTTAAGTCCACCGTGCCTTTGATATTTAGCAGCTGCTGACGGTCGTACACCAACAAAGACCGAACGGTCTTCAGGACAAACAGCACACACCACACAAACAAGATAGAAGTTGCTGGATTAAGACGGCGAGCCAGACACCCCGGCGCCATCTTGTAACATCTAGTGGTTACTTCATCATCAATACATCCACAAACACTGACTACTTGTTGATTCTATTTTAGGAATCGATTTATTGATGGCTAGCAGGAATGCTGCTGATCTGCCTTTCAGACTCCGGCTGGAGCCTCTGATCCGGCCTCGCCGTGGTTTCCTGTTTCGGTCTGAGACAGCGTCCTCTTCAGGAGCTCAACGATGGATCGATCACTCCTCACACGTCCTGTCCAGCCAAACAGATTCACTTCACCGAGATACGAAACTGAAATGAAATACATTATAAGGTCTTTACATGACTGCAGCGATCGATCGGGCATTTCAGAGGGTTACAGATGGTCGATTCATCGACTTCTCATTTGAAACACTGATCCTGGGTCTGATCAGCAGCTCAGTCACCCTTAGCTTCAATAAGATGCCTGTCGCCATGGTAACTGCCTCCCACTGGGAGAAGACTGAAGTAAAGAAAGACGATTACAGAGACGCCTCCACAGCGACGAGGCCTGAACAGCCTCAGTACAAAGAGCAGGCTGCCTGAGACGGAGGCATCACCTATGAGCAGGGACTCCTGTCCAGCTGCACCACCTGTCATGTCCTGAAACTAATTACATTTCTACTCCTGTAGATTGAGGATGACACTTTATAAATGGACTGAATTATTTTACTGCCGACCCTTTTCTTTCTAACTTAATCCTGTTTTTCTTTTCAGATTCAGTGTGTGAGATTTAGTGCCATCTAGTGGTGAGTGTTGTGAATTGCAACCATCTGTCCAGTCTGCCACTGCCCTCTAACCTTTCAAAGAGGGTAGGGGGCAGGATATGAGGTTTCTTTAGGTAGATATGTTAAGAAATTATATTTACTGAATTATTCAGTAAAACCAGATGTTTCTGTGAAAATGTGAGCCAAGAGTGTGAAACACTGTCACTGTTTCTGCACCACAGTCCTTCATAAACCACACATTAGATAAAGTTTAGACAAACACTGACAACACATTCATTCTCTCTGTGATTATGGACCCTCGCCAGAACTGCCCGACAACAATAATATCTGGCCTGATGATGCCAGATTATGGTGCTGAAATAGATCTCAGTCATGGCAGCAACAGTTCCTCACATAGTCACTTCCTCTTTAGTGGTTTTGCCTACAAAATAAAAGCGCAAGCAGCTTGTTTACTGTAATACAGTATTTGGAGTTGAACTGAGCTTTTACTGAATGACATTAAAAGAGTCTGTAGCTGCTTGACACGCCTCTGAAAGATCTGACAGAGAACGTGATTCCCCTGAATGTTCTCCGCCTGAAGACACTGGGGAAATGGAAAAGGGTCAAACACGGAAACACAAACAGCACATGCTGTAATCTGAGAAACATTCGCTGCAGAATCCGTTTGTTGTCTCCAGGATGGGATTGAACCCTCAGTTC